TGATGCTGATGCTGATGCTGATACTGATTCTGATACTGATGCTGATTCTGATGCTGATGCTGATGCTGCTGCTGCTGCTGCTGCTGATGATGATGATGATGATGATGATGATGATGATTGTTGGGATACCGTGGGAGGCCTCTTAGGAGCCTGTTGGAGGCAGTTTTGAGGCGTCTGTAGGGCCCTCTGGGGGCCTACAGACGGCCCTACAGACGGCTGATGGTGATGATGGTGATGATGATGATGATGATGATGATGATGATGATGATTATGATGATGCTGATGATGCTGATGATGATGCTGATGATGCTGATGATTGTGATGATGCTGATGATGATGATGATGTGAAGATGTTGGTTTGATGGTGTGGTGATGGTGTGATGATGGTGATGATTGGAGATGGATGGTGAGATGGTGATGATGATGATGATGCTGATGATGATGCTGATGATGATGCTGCTGCTGTGATTGATGATGATGTGATGATGCTGATGATGATGATGATGCTGAATGCTGATGTGATGCTGATGATGATGATGATGATGATGATGATGATGATGAGGAGAGAGGAGGCGGAGGGAGGAGGAGGAGGAGGAGGAGGATTAGGAGGGTAGGAGGAGCTGGAGGAGGAGGAGAGGAGGAGGAGGAGGAGGAGGAGGAGAAGGAGGTCGCCCGCAGCCCGCAGCAGGAGCTCGCACGACAGCTCCTCGCAAGCCTCTTCGGCGGTGGAGGCCGCCGCCCTCCGCCGGAGCACCGCCCGCCGCCGGAGCGCCGTGCGGAGTGGCGCTGCGCGTGCGGCACGTACAACTTCGAGACCCGCGGGGCGTGCCGCCAGTCTGGCGCCGCCCGCGCTGGGGCGAAGGCGAGCTGCTCGCCCCCGCCGCCGGCTGCCCCTGCGGGCGACGCCAGCGCAGCCTGGCCGGCTCTGCCAGGCGCCCGGGGCCCCCGCCCAGGGGCCCAGGCGGAAGCCCTCCGCCAGGCAGCCGCCGCGGCCAGGCGCGCTGGGGCTCCGGCTGCGGCCGTCGAGCCGCTGCTGGCGGAAGAGCGCGCCGCGAGGCAGCGACAAGCGGAGCGCCGCAGCGGCAACCGCCTGGAGGGCCTGCGGGCGGCGGCGCAGAAAGCAGCCACAGCAGCGCAAGCCGCGGAGGAGGCGCTGGCGGCCGCAGAGCGCCACCTCGAAGACGCCCGCGCGAAGGCCGCTGCGGCCGAGGCGGCGGCGCGCGCGGAAGAGGAAACGCAGCTGGCGGCGGCTGCGGGGCCGGCCGCGCCTCGGGCCGGCGGGGCTGGCGCGGGCCACGCGCCAGCTGCTGGACCGCCTCGAGAACGGGGCGCAGGCCTGGGGCGGCGCGCCAGAGCCGCTGCCGGCGGCGATGGCGGAGGCGCACGCTGTCTTGGCGGCCGTGGAGGAGCCGGCCGCCGAGCTCGCCGCCGAGGAGGCCGAGGACCTGGACGACGACCCGCTGCTGGGCGGCGACCAGAGCAGGCGCTGGGACGACCTTCGCGCAGAGGAGGCCGAGGAAGGCGCCATGCTGGAGGAGCTCGACCGCGCCGAGGCAGGCGACGACGGGGCCCTCCTCGACTCGAAGCGGCCCGCCGCCTGCGCGGGGTCCGCCGCGAGGCAGCCGCCGCCGCCCAGCCCGCTCGGCCCCAGCCGCCGCGGCGAGAGGACCGCAGCCGCAGCGCAGAGCGCTGAGACGCCTCTGCGGCTACGCCGGCGAGCGGGTCCGCGAGGCCAGCAGCCCGGGGCCAGCGGCGCTGCTCTGCCCTGGCTGACACGGGCCGCTGCGCGCAGTCACGAGAACTGCGCTGCTTGCGGCGGGGGCGGGCCCGGCGGCTGGCTCCACCGCTGCGAGGACTGCGAAGCGCTCCTCTGCCGGGACTGCACTGCGGCTGCCGCCGAGGCCTCCGCGGCCGCCGCGGCCGCCGCGGCTGCCGCCGCCGCGGCGCCGCCTGCCGGCGCGGCGGCCGCTGCTGCCGACGCGGCAGGGCGCCGCGCTGCCGCCCCGCAGCGGCCGCCCACCCGCGGCGGCTGGACGACGCGCCGGGCCCCGCCACGCGCCCGCTGGGACCGCCGCCCGCCAGGCACGCCGCCGCCGCGCTCGGGCCGCCGTCACGCCGCTCTAGAGGCAAGCGTGTGGAGCCGGGTCAGACGCCTGCCTGGACCTACTGGACGAGCTGGCTGCGCTAGATACCTATCCCACTTAGACCCCTCCTCCGCACGGACTGCCCCGAGCGTCCGCTTTGTGCCCGGCGGCGGAGTCTAGGCCCGCTGATCCCGCTGAGCAGGCCACATGTGGAGGGCGCCCTGACAAAGCCCCCGTGCCGCTGACGCGCGCGCCGCGCGGCAGCCTGGCAGAAGAAAGGGCTTGGGAGGTCTACTGCTGCTCCGCGAGAGGCTGCTTTTCTCGGCCCCGCTGAAAAGGGGCACCGGCGGCAGACGCCAGCCTGGGAACGAACCGGCTGCGCGGGCCGGGCTGATCCGCCAGCGGCGTTCTCAGTTCCACAGAGGCGTTCGGGGGGAGCTACTGGAGGAGGCGCGGCAGACCGCCAAGGGCCTGGCGTGCGCGCGCAGAGAGGGCGCCGCCCGGGGGCGCCAGGGCGCCGCCGCCGAGGGCCGACGCGGTGGTCCGGAAGGCGTTGGCCGAGGAGTACTCCCGAGCAGCCGCGCTCCTCGCCAGCCCGGGGCTGGCGCCTCTGACGCCCGAGACGGCCGCCGCCTTCCAAGAGTTGCTCGAGCCGCGCGGCGAGCCTGCCCTCGAGCCCAAGCCGCGCGGCGGGCCCGCCGCTTCGCCCCTCTCCCATATTTGGAATTGCGAAGAGCGCTCGGACGGAGCCCGAGAGGCCTCGGGCCGCCGTGGGGGGCGGCCGTTTCGAGCACTTGCGGGCGCTGCTGGCGGAGCCAGCCGCCCTTGAAGCATTCTGCAACCTCTGCGACCCGCTCGCCACTGGGGGCCTGCCTGCGAGCGCCGCGGACGCACTCGCCCTTTCCCGAGCGACGCCGCTCAGCAACCCGGGCGGCGGGGTTGCCGCGCCAAACGTCCTCCGCTGCCTGGTGGGGAGGGCGCCGGTGGCGCCGCGGAAGGAGGAACTCGCGGCCGCGCTGGGCAAGCGCCAGTTCGCCGTCGGCGCGAAGGTGGGCGCCGAGCTGCCGGCGCACGCTGTCCGGGCGCTGACAGAGGCGAACCTGGACCTGGCCCTGGTGGCGTTGGACGAGAAGGGCGCCTACGGGACCGCGCGGCGCGAGGCTTGCCTGGGCGGGCTGGGGGGGGCGGCGCCAGAGTTCCTCCCCTTCGCAGACCTCCTCTGCCGGCGCCGCTCCCAGCGTTACTTTTGGAACGCGGGCGGGGGCGGCCGCCGCTTGGGCTCGGCGGACGTCGTTGACCGGGGGGCCCGCTGGCGCCCCTCCTTTTTGCCTGCGGCCTCCGCCCCCCCTCCCCCCCCTCCTGGCATTCGAAAACGCGCTGAAGGTGAGAGCGGCCGCCCTCGGCTCGAGGGCAGGCGATGTCCGCGCCCTGGCTTGCTTTGACGACGCAGTCGCCCTCGCGCCGCCCGCTCTGGCCAGCGAGGTCGAGGCGACTGCAGATCGAGGCCGTTTTGGGGCCCCTTGGGTTCGAATTGCAGCGGCGGAAGACGCGGGCCTGGTCGCCCCGCTCGCCCTGCCCGCCGGGGCAGGAAGCGCGCTGGCGCTCTGACGGCGCCACGCTGCCAGGCGCCACGCTCGCGGGGCCGCTGCCGCCGGGCAACCTCCAGGACGAGAGCGACGGGCGCCATCTGGACTTGAGCAGCGACTACGCCGCGGTGCGCTGCGCCGAGACCGCCGAGAGAGCGGCGGCGCTGCTGGAGAAGCTCGCCCAACTTCCCGCGCAGGCCTCGCCGCGCCTCCCGGCGACCCAGGCGGCCGGGCTCCTCCTCCGGCACTGCGGCGCGGGCAAGCTGACCTGCCGCGCGCCAACCCGCCGGCTCCTGGAGGCTTACAGGGAGCTGGCGCGGCTGGACCCGCTGGCGCCCGAGCGGCGCGCGCGCGGCCGCCTGCCGCCGCGGCTGGGCGGCCGAGGCTTCCGCGGCCAGGAGGAGCTCGCGCCCGCCGCTTGGGCCGCCTCCTGGGCGCAGAGCTTGGCGGGCGTCCGAGAGCGCACGGGGCTGGCGGAGCTGGCTGACCTCGAGACATCGGGCCTGCCCCTCGCCGCGGCTTGCCGGGAGGCGCCCCGCTGGGGCATTCGGTGGAGCTCCCTATGGGGCTACGAAGCGCTGTCCTGGGTGGGGGAAAGAACCGCATGCGGGCACCCCCACTGGGGCCTTCGGTGGAGCCCCCCATGGGGCTACGAAGCGCTGCCCTGGGTGCGGGAACCGCATGCGGGCACCCCCACTGGGGCCTTCGGCGGAGCTCCCTATGGGGCCACGAAGCGCTGCCCTGCTGCCTTGGGCGTGGGGTAACCGCGCGCGGGCATCCCCACTGGGGCTTACGGTGGAGCTCCCTATGGGGCCACGAAGCGATGCCCTGGGCGGGGGAACCGCCTGCGGGCACCCCCGCTGCGGCCTTCGGTGGAGCTCCCTGTGGGGCTACGAAACGCTGCCCTGGGTGGGGGGGCGCATGCGGGCACCTCCACTGGGGCCTACGGTGGAGCTCCCTATGAGGCCACGAAGCGCTGGCCTGGGTGGGGTAACCGCGCGCGGGCATCCCCACTGGGGCCTTCGGTGGAGCTCCCTTTGGGGCTACGAAGCGTTGCCCTGGGTGGGGGAACCGCGTGCGGGCACGCCCACTGGGGCCTACGGTGGAGCTCCCTATGGGGCTACGAAGCGCAGCCCTGGGTGGGGGAACCGCATGCGGGCACCCCCGCTGGGGCTTACGGTGGAGTTCCCCTATGGGGCCACGAAGCGTTGCCCTGGGTGGGGGGGGGGGCGCATGCGGGTACCCCCACTGGGGCCTTCGGTGGGGCTCCCTATGGGGCCACGAAGCGCTGCCCTGGATGTGGGGTATCCGCATGCGGGCACCCCCGCTGGGGCCATCCGTGGAGCGCCATATGAGGCTACGAAACGCTGCCCTGGGCGGGGGGACCGCGCGCGGGCAGGGGGAGGGGGGTGGGGAAGAGGGGGGGGGCAAGGAAGGAAGGAAGGAAGGAGACGCGGGGCGCTGTCTCTTCAAAACGAGGACCCAACACCACAGGATGGCTGGGACAAAAATTACACAGCCTTGCTGAGCTCCCTGGGCGCTGATGGACGAGCGCAGCTTCGCTCTTGCGGGGGGCCGCGCGCGGGGGCCTGGCAGCTGGCGAACGGCGGGCCGGGCAGCGGCTGGACGACGCGGACTGCCGCGCGACGGCCCGGGCGCTCCTGGGCCAGGACTGCGCGCCCGCGGGCGGCCGCTGCTGCGACTGCCTGCGCACTGGCGACTGGGCAGGGCAGCCCTGCGGCAAGCCGCTCTGCTGCAAGGCGCGGCGTGCCTTCCGCTGCGCCTGCGGGGGCGGCGCCAAGGCGCGCAGCCGGGATGTCGAGGGCGCGTGGGACCGCATCCACCAGGAGTGCGGTTTCCGCACGGCCCGACAAGTCCCTGTCCCGGCATGGGACCGCTGGCGCTGGCGCTGCGCCGCGGCTGGCTGCCGCGCCCGCGAGCGAGCCGCGCGCGGCGGGCCGGCTTCTGGCTGGCGCTTCGCCGACGCCCCGCCCCGCCGGGCGGGCTCTGCGGCGCTTGCGGGGGGCCGCTCGAGGTGGAGCGCCAGGAGGCCCTCCTTGACCTCGAGGCCCAGCGAAGCGACTGCCCCCGGATGCTGGCGGACATCGCCTTCCGCTACAGCGTCCCGGGGGACGAGCGGCCATGGCCGCGGCTGCGGACAGCGATGGCGCGGTGGCCGCCGAGGGCGAGGCGGACATGCGCCGGCGCTGCCCCGAGCGCCGGGCGCCCTGGCAAGTCCTCCCCGTGGCCCACGAAACGGCCGGGCGGCTGGGCAAGGCCGCCCTGCGCCGCGCTGGCTCGCCTGGGACCAGGCGGGCGCCGGGCGACGGCCCCGGGGCCAAAGGGCCGCGAGCGCGTTGGCCCGCTGCTGGCGCGCGGAGTTGGGCTGCGCGTTGCACCGCGCCGCAGCGCGGCAGCTCCACAGCGCGCTCGGCCAGGAGCGCGAGCTGGCGGCGCGCGCCGCGCAGGCGGCCGAGCTGGCCGGCTAGGCCGGCCGGGCGGCGCGGGCAGGCAGGGCGGGCGTGGCGTTGCGTTAGCGGGTCGTGGAGGAGGGCTACTTTGTCCTCGCGGTGGCGTTCGGCATCAGAGAGCGCGCGCGGCACAAACCGCGTCGGCGCTCGCAGGAGGGGGAGGAGGAGGAAGATGAGGAGGAGGAGGAGGAGGAGGAGGAGGAGGAGGAGGAGGAGCAAGAGCAAGAGCAAGAGCAGGAGGGGGGAGGAGGAGGAGGGAGGAGAGGAGGAGGAGCAGGGAGCAGAGAGCAGGCGGAGAAGGAGGAGGAGGAGGAGAGGAGGAGGGAGGAGGCGGGGGAGGAGGAGGAGGAGGAGGACGAGGAGGAGGAGGAGGCGGAGGAGGATGAGGAAAAGGAGAGGGAGAGGGAGGCGGAGGAGGAGGAGGAGGAGGCGGCGGAGGAGGAGGAGGAGGATAACCAAGTTTCG